TCTGTCTCAGATAGGAGTAGAGCATGGAAACTAACCTCATCTATGCATCCACGGGTGGGATTAGGACCTATCCTCACCTATTAGACAGTAGGAACACCATGTAGATGCAATTGATGGTTACATTACTCGCTGATACATATGTTAGAGGATGGATGACCGTCAGTGGATGTACACGGGTTGGAGAAGTCAGAGTGATTACACCACGGAATGGATGAACAAGACCGATGCTTTCTTGAACAGTGCATTTGGCAAGGCTGCTAAAGGACATTGGCTAGTTTTGTGTCCCTGCAGCAAATGTGGAAACAGTAGAAGGGTAAACAAGGTAGAAATGGGTAAACATCTTGTGAAGAATGGATTTACGTCGGACTACACCCAGTGGGTCCACCATGGTGAAGCCCATCGTATGAGAGAGGAGGTGGTGAGACCATGGGTGGAGGCTTTTGATGCTGATGCCGGGGTAGCAGACATGTTAGATGACTTTCACCAAGGACAGTTCAATGAGGGACGTGAGAAGGAGGAGATGGAGGCCGCCGCATAGGCGTTCTACGACATGATGGACTCGGCACAGAAACCCCTTCATGATCGATCAACAGTGTCTCAACTGGATGCCATTGGACGCTTAATGGGGTTGAAGTCCGAGTTAAACTTGAGTCGACCTGGCTTCGATAAGATCTTGGCCGTGATTGGCACCCTGCTTCCGGAGGGCCACATTCTGCCAAAGAGCATGTACGAGTCACAGAAACTCCTTCGTGCACTTAAGATGCCATATGAGCAGATACATGCTTGTCCGAAGGGGTGCGTCCTATTTAGGAAAGAACATGAGCATGCAAAGTTCTGTCCAAAGTGTAAATCCTCTAGGTACCTGGAGGTAGACTCTGATGATGGCCAGAAGAGGCAACTTACGATCCCCGTGAAAATCCTACGGTACCTTCCGTTGCTACCAAGGATCCAACGGCTATACATGACCGAGGAATCCGCGAAACAGATGACATGGCACAAAAATGGCAAACGGTACAATCCTGACAAGATGGTACATCCATCCGATGGTGAAGCTTGGATCCGCTTTAATGTCAATCATCGTGACAAAGCAGATGAGGCTCGTAATGTACGTGTCGCGCTGGCAACAGATGGGTTCAATCCTTATGGAATGATGGCTGCCCCATATACATGTTGGCCCGTCTTTGTTATCCCCCTTAATCTCCCCCCCCCGGTGTCTCCTTTTAACGACATAACGTATTCTTGTCGTTGATAATTCCTGGACACCCAGGGAGTAATATGGGTGTGTTCATGGAGCCCGTGTTTGATGAATTGGTCCGTGCTTGGGACGAAGGGGTATGGACATACGATCGAGCTACAAAGACAACCTTCAAAATGCACGTTTGGTACACTGAGGACCCCCCCCGAGGCATACACAAACCCGAGAGTCCACTCCCACATCAGTGAGTACACTGAGGTGACGAGGTCGCTCCATGGGTTAGACCATGATCCGAGCACCCAGGACTTCGATGGAGAGGCCGTCATGAGGGCGGGGCAAGGCAAGAAGCATGGGCGGTTCTGGCTTGGCGACGGCGTCATCGACACGGCCTCTACTCCCTCTCTCTCCCGGATCCGAGCACGGAGCACGAGTGAGAGCCCAGCCATTCGCACACGATCGACCGCTGCACAGCACCGGGTCGACACACTCGAGGTTATTCCTGTTTTACTCATCATACATTGATCTTTACACACCTTAATTAGCTTTGCATTACTGAAACATTGGAGTGAAATATTGCAGGTCCGGCTGGAATAAGAAATGAGGCAACGTCAGGAGCTGGAGGCCGGGCACCAGAGGATGGTGGCCCAGCTGGAGGCCGAGCGGGCCGAGCGGGAGGCCGAGCGGGCCGAGCGGGAGGCCGAGCGGGCCAAGCGGCAGGCCCAGGCGCAGAGGCTGACGGACATTACGGAGTTCCTACAAGGGCTTGGGCAACATGTGGGCTTCTCTCTGCTAGCTGGGTTGTTGGTTCCACCTCTGCCTCCGCGTCCTGCAGCTCCAGCTACTCCTGTGAGTATGAAAGTTTTTTACTTTTGCTTATGCTTTGCTTGTATGGCCTCTACCTTCCTAGATTAGCTATCCAAATAATCTTGTCTCACATGCAATCTTTTTTCCTTTGTGCAGTATCCATCTGATGGTGGTTCGAATAATCCACCTCATGCACCTCCGAATGATAGAACTGGGCCTTCACCATAGTCGCAGTGGCCGAGATGAGTGCACGTTGTATTTTTTTCATTTGTTGTTCACTTGGTGATAGACTTATGATATACTTGTGATGCACTTGTGGACTTCAATGGACTTGTGGATTTATTTGGATGGACTTGAACACTTATTATTATATATGTGATATATATTGTGATGGATGTGATATGTGCGGATGGATGTGTGGATGGATGAGATATATATGTGATGGATGAGATATATATATGATGAATGAGATATATATGTGATGGATGAGATATATGATTGTATGAATTTATTTGTCATGATGGAATGTAAAAAAATTAAAAATTGCCGTTTTGGGTCACTTTGCCGAGTGTTGCACTCGGCAAAGGACCCCGTTGCCGAGTGCCATGGTCACAGCACTCGGCAAAGCTGGAAAATGGGCGCTCGGAAAACCATTTTTCCAGCTTTGCCGAGTGCCATGACCATGGCACTCGACAAAGAATTTAAAAAAAAATTCAAACTTTGCCGAGTGCCGGCCATAGGGCACTCGGCAAAGATTTTTTTTTTAAAAAAAATTCAAACTTTGCCGAGTGCCGGCAAAAGGGCTCTCGGCAAAGAATTTTTTTAAAAAAAAAATTCAAACTTTGCCGAGTGCTCGCCAAAGGGCACTCCGCAAATAATTTTTTTTAAAAAAAATCAAACTTTGTCGAGTGCCGGTAAAAGGACACTCGGCAAAGAATTTTTTTTTTGCAAAAAATTCAAACTTTGCCGAGCGCCGGCCAGTGGGCACTCAGCAAAGAAATTTTTTAAAAAAAATAAAAAATCTTTGCCGAGTGCCTACGGGGTTGGCACTCGGCAAAGCCACCGTCAACGGGGTCAGCGCCGTGACGGTCGTTTTTCTTTGCCGAGTGCCCGATAAAAGACACTCGGCAAAGAGGTCTTTGTCGATCAATTTTTTGCCGTGTGTTCTTTGTCGAGTGCAATTTGGCCTTTGTCGAGTGCCTCAAGCACTCGGCAAAGAACCTGAATCCAGTAGTCGCATGTGCAGTGAATGTCGAAGAAGCTGCCCATGTACACGCGCATAGGCCTATTTCAGCGGCGACTGGGGATGGAGAACAGCCACGGACGACCCCCGCGAGGTGGAGAGCGATGAACAAGGCCGCTGATGACACACAACACCTGTGCCTGACTACATGGAGGAGGTGGAGGCAACTCTTCCTCCAGTTCTTCATGCACCACTTGTAGCTCATTATGTTTTTAAGAACTTAACAGAAATGACTTGAAAGCCCATTCGATACTGACTATGCATGTTTTTCCCCTTCACAGCATATTAGTGGACTTTCAGTTGACTGGGGTTTGGATTATGCATGAGCTTGCACACTTTTTGTAACCAAGTATTAATGGGGTAGTATAATCACCAAAACTCGTAAAAGATTCATGCACCAAACACTAGAAACGTGTGCTGTACTGCTGGAACAGTGGATACACTACTGGAAAACTGTACTTTGCCGAGTGTCTGATACTTTGCCGAGTGCAAAATATCGTGGCACTCGGCAAAGCAATATTTTGCCGAGTGTAGCACTCGGCAAAATTCTGCACTCGGCAAAGCAGGCTTTGCCGAGTGCCAGGGTTTTTGGCATCCGACGTCACTACTTGCTCGAAATCTTCTCAATTTTTTACCATAGCCTCCACATGCGATAACACGACGCCTCCACAAGTTTCGTGATTTTCAGACTTCGTTTGGATTTTATATAATTTAAATTCACTTTTCCCGCAACTAACTCGACATGTTACGTCAACGAGATACTCGAGATTTCATGTGACTCCCTGGATACGGCCTCAACATACACTAAATATCATGAATATCAAATTTTGGATGACCAAATTCCATTATTCCATGGACCTGCAGTTCAAATTTCAAATACGCCGAAAAAATCAACGAAACAAAATAAATTAATGAAATATACCTAAAAAAGTCAAAATTTAACCAAATTTTAGAGTAGAGCTTTAAATACTGTCACAAGGCTACAAAAAAAATTTGGGTCCAAAATAAAAAAAAAATATATTTTGCCGAGTGCCATGGGGAGCACTCAGCAAAAATGTCTTTGCCGAGTGCCGGGCCCAGGAGGCACTCGGCAAAATTTGTTTTCAGAAAATAAAAAAAAAATGCCGCCGAGTGCCCAAGGATGACACTCGCAAAGTTTTTAAAAAAAATAAAACAAATTTTGCCGAGTGCCCAGCCCAAAGGGCACTCGCAAAGAAAATCCAAAAAATGCCAAGGCCTAAATGGCCCTACTGCCCACCCTCACCCCTCCCTCCAAACCCTATCTTCAGCCGCCCTGTGCCCCCGACCCCTTGCACGCAACACACTGCCCTACACCAAGAAGCTCCTGCTGAGCCACCTCCCACCACATCTCAAGGCGTCACCAGCCGCACACAAGACGCAACGCCACCAGAGCGCCACACCTGCCCTTGCTTCTCAGCCCATCCCCTTGGCCGACGCAGGCCACCCCTGCCCTGCCCATCGCCGCGGCCCCCGGCCATCCCCGCGGCCCGCCCCTCCCCAGCCTTGCCCGCGTCCGTCTTGGAAGGAGAAGGAGGAGGAGGTACTAGGAAGAAGAAGAATGAAGTAGAAGAAGGAAGAAGGAAGAAAAAGGAGGAAGAAGGAGAAGAAAAAGGAAGAAGAAGGAGAAGGAAGAAGGAGAAGGAGGAGGAGAGCATTTCCCTATTGTTGGTTTATGCAACAAATCACTTTATCTTTACAGTTATATGTCAATGGAGATTTGCAAGATCTTGATTCACAATGGAACCTCATGCTGGTTATGGTCTCCACTTTTCTTCTTTCAGTAATGAGAATGTGAGATTAATAGTGTTTTTAGAATTTAAGGTACTCATCCTGCCATTTCTGTTTGCATTAAATTTTTGTTATGGTTAGATGCCAACAGTTCATAGATTCAAGAGTAATTTTGTACCAGTACATTGAGAGGTCGAGAGCATTTGGTTTCTTACTGGTTCGTTGTTCTGTGACCAACTGCACATACATGTTCTGATCTTCCAATCAGTAGAGCATAAGAAACGCTTACATCCTTGGTGTTTTGTCTACATAAATTTCAATTGTGTTTCTGATTTTAAGCCCGGAATTCCTTTTAAGCCCACATTTCACATTTCATCTTCACACGCCTATTCTCAGGTCTGGTGCTAGTTGACTGTTCTGCAACTTATGACACTGTTACTCTGCTGAAAGATGCTGTGGATCATGGATGTTGTATTGTGTTGGCAAACAAGAAACCTCTTACTGGTGCTTATGTAATACTATTTGACTTCCATTTCTCTGATAATAGTCTTTCCTAATGCCGGAATCGCAGTATCGCACTCTGTCATGTTGTTCAACAAAGAGTTGTTATCTGATTAGTTAACAAATACATTTGTTGCTGTTGCAGGAGGATTTTCAGAAGTTGGTCTCCAACTTCCGTCGCATAAGATTTGAATCTACTGTATGTTCATGTTTGGTTTTTTGTTTCTGTTTCGATGCTTGTGGATCTGTACAAACTGGTGCTTTGCATTTTTTCTAACTACTGCTGTCCATGACTAAAGTTTTGCTGTTATGGTTTATATCTCTAACCTTGCTTTAAAACGTTGAATGCACTGGTGTATAAAGAAGTTAGCTATATTGTTGCAATTCTATCATTTTGATCTTTGCATTGAGTTAATTTGTACTGGTTCGTAACATTTGCTTGACATCAGAAGATGACAGACATGATATGAGTGTCAGGACATACATATAAGACAGTTCTATTTCACATTTTGTTCTCCTTTATTTATGGTGTTTTAACTTTGACTTAGGTTATACTTTCAGGTTGGAGCAGGTTTGCCTGTGATATCTTCTGTAACCCGTATTATTGCATCTGGAGATCCTATTTCTCGTATTGTTGGCAGTTTGAGTGGTATGCAATTATTAGTCTATTTTGTAAATGGTGACAGTTTATATATAAAATATTACAAGTTTTTCCTTCATATGGGTTTGTAGGTACACTTGGGTATGTGATGAGTGAGCTTGAGGATGGAAAGAAATTTAGTGAAGTCGTGAAAAATGCCAAATCTCTTGGCTATACAGAACCAGGTCTTGCAGATATCTTGTGATATATTTTCATCGCAGTTGTTATATGTGTCAATTTCTAGTAGATCCTGTTTGTGAAGCAGAGCTCAAACAAAAAACTACTAATATGAGAAGATCCTTCTTCTTGACGGAAAACCCGGGGGCCGTCATAACCCCCCGCAGGTCGAGTTTTTTTTTTTTGCTTTGCCTATTTGCAATATGTATTTATTGAAGTGTTTATTTTTGCCAGATCCACGTGATGATCTTGGTGGAATGGATGTGGCTAGAAAGGTTAGATACCTTACAATTTCGCATTCAATAAACTGTATTCTGTTTTCTGTTTTTTCCCTTGCCTAAGTGAACTCTTGTGTATTGCATGAACTGCTGCAGTGTTGAGTTTAATTTTGTCCTACTAGAATTTGATGTGAAAAATCATGTAAACATAACCATTATCACAAACTGGTCCACCTGTCGAGGTACAGTCCAGTGTTCATATTCGCATTTAATACCTTCATCTTTGAATGCAGGCGTTGATCCTGGCTAGGCTTCTGGGGCAACAGATAAGCATGGAGAATATCAATGTATGCCTGTCTGTACTATTTCTTGAGAAGTTGAGATTATTATTTTATATTTGATAACTTGTTATATAGGCATGGTGCTCTGTACACTGGGTGATATTTTCACTGTTATTGCTTATAGATATGGGTGTGCTACTTCACTGTTAGTTCACTGCTAACAATAATCAAGCAGTTTCTGGGCAAAGTAATCCTGTTCACATATTGTAGTTGTGGAAGGTCTGCCTCCTATTCATTTAAATGATTACATGGGGCCATCTTTTAGGCTTGTGTCCTGTTTTATCGAGGCATAGATTGACTTGTCTGAATTGTTACATCAATTGTACACTGATATGCTAAATCTGTAAGAGTAGATTAAATAGTCCCCCAAACTTGTAAAGTTGTCGTATAGCTGATTGATTGCACCACTTGTTTCTTGTGGTAGCTGCCAATTTTAATCTTTTATATGTCGCATAGATCGGCATGGTCGAGGATCGTGTCACCGGTGGCTGATCGCGTCAACCCTTCGCCGCAGTTCGGTCCTTCACCGCAGTCCGGGGGGCCACACCTGCAGTCTCCGTCGCCGCAGTAGGGATGTTGAACTTTGTGATGTTGAACTTGTAATAATAAACTTGTGATGTTGAACTTTGGTGCATTTGTGATGGATTTTCGATGGATTTATTAAATATGCGTGTGCTTGTGATATATAATGCATGTCGGTGATATAGATGTGATGATTGATGTGTGTGTATATATATATATATATATATATATATATATATATATAGTCTGTTACAATGGAATGTAAAAAAAATTGCAATTCTCGGAGTCTTTGCCGAGTGGATGTTGAACTTTGTGATGTTGAACTTGTAATAATAAACTTGTGATGTTGAACTTTGGTGCATTTGTGATGGATTTTCGATGGATTTATTAAATATGCGTGTGCTTGTGATATATAATGCATGTCGGTGATATAGATGTGATGATTGATGTATATATATATATATATATATATATATATATATATATATATATATATATATATATATATATATAGTCTGTTACAATGGAATGTAAAAAACAATTGCAATTCTCGGAGTCTTTGCCGAGTGCCATGGGCAAGACACTCGGAAAAGATTTTTCAAAAAAAAAAAAAAAATTTCTTTGCCGAGTGCCTCGCTGCGGCACTCGGCAAAGTATTTTTTTTAAAAAAAATTCAGAAATTCTTTGCCGAGTGCCTAAACGGGGGCACTCGGTAAAGAAATTATTTAAAAAAAATAAAAAAAACACTTTGTCGAGTGCCTAGGCAGGGGCACTCGGCAAAGTACTTTTTAAAAAAAATAAAAAAAAAACTTTGCCGAGTGCCTGGGCTAGGGCACTCGGCAAAGTAATTTAAAAAAAAAATAAACTTTTTTTTTGCCAAGTACTGGGTCGGGCACTCGGCAAAATAACCGTTAACGGCCGGCGCCGCAACGGCCGAAAATATTTTGCCGAGTGCCGCCCCAAGAACTCGGCAAAATTGTTTTTTTATTTTGCCGAGTGCCCGGATAAAAAGCACTCGGCAAAGACCCTTTGTCGAGAAAATTTTTGCCGAACGGACTTTGCCGAGTGCTACACTCGGCAAAGCTTTTGCCGAGTGCAAAGGACTCTTTGCCGAGTGTAAAAACACTCGGCAAAGCCGCGGCCTCCAGTAGTGATAACCATACAAATAGCAAGGTACCATAAGGACATCAGGACCATACACATACTATATAGGAAACAATAGTAGCAAATAAGGTCCAAGATGATGACTACACTTACACCATAGTAATGAGCAGACACCGCACACTTAGAATATATAGGTGGATCACACAAGGACATGATAGTACAACTACTTAGGGAGTTAGGGTAGCTGTTGATCTTTGACAAATTAAACACAGGCTGCTTGTAAATTATTGAACCACCCCTTTGCTTCCTGCCTAGTTCTTCACCACCACCTCCTCCTCCTTGTCAGTGATCTCCTTTTTCATCATAGGCATAGCCAAAAGCACAGTACTGAGCGATGAGGGCGTGCTGATATGCAAGGTTCTTAGCATTGATGACCTTGGCAATGGCATAGCTTTGGCGGTATTCCTCGGGGCACTCCGCCATTTCCTCGTCAGAGAGTTCTCTCATCATGCAGGGATCATTTGCGATAATGTAATCGATGCAAGCATCGGGCAAAATTACCCTGACCACCTTCTTCTTCTTGTTGCTCTTCTTGTCGACCGTGGGCACCTGCGTGGTCTTCCTCTCCATCCAGTGATCCAACACCCCCTGTGGACAAGCTTCTCGCTCCATAGATGCTCCGCCTCCCACAACTCCTCCCTCAGCTTCAGCATCTCACCCTCCTTCCACAAGCTATCACCCACCTTCTTCTTGAGGGCATCAGCTGCGTCGTCTTCCGATGCACTGACCTCCTTACTCTTCGGATCACGGTCATGGTAGTCACCGGCCTCCGACGACCCGCCGGTGGCCTCCTTCCTCTTCGTCCCGGCCCCCGCCGGCTGGGCCTCCGCCGTGGGCTTGTTGGTCGCCAACAAACCGCCGGCCAAGTCCATCATCGCCTCCTTCCTCTTCGTCAGGATGTCGCCGCTCTCAGACTCCTCCGACGCTGTGGTCTCCTTGGTCGTCGTGAGGTTGAGGTCTCGATCATCACCGTCCCCCGTCGCAGCAGACGCCATCGATCGATCATACCCTAACGCAAGTCAGCCTCGATACGGATGCGGACAGGCGCCGCCGTCGCGTCGCCTTTATTTATATATATATGTATATATACTAGATAGAAATTGTGTTTCCGTTTGCATAGTTGCATCCGAATCCGAAAGGGTTACCGCCTTGCCATATTCCGTGTATATCTGCGGCTCTCCTTCGGTCCTTCCCCTGCCATCTTCCGTGTCGCGTCCTCGCAAACCATCCAGATCATCTTTTTCGAGACGTAGCTAGATCGATCCATCGATTGCGGGCGATGGGGTCCCGTCGTCGATACCAGAAGAGGAAGGCGGCGGCTCGCGCGTCCGCGTCCACGTCTTCGGAGGCCGGCGACTCTGTCCTTGTCCTCAAGAGAAAGAAGCAGGCGCCGAGCGCGTCAGACACGGATGAAGCTAAGATTCAGAAGCTGGAGGAGGCGGGCGCATTGGAGGAAGGCAAGATTCTGAAGCTCAAGAAGGAGTTCGTCGCGGCGAACCAGGCGTCAGTGGAGAGGATTCCCTTCTTCACAGGGCCGACGCCGGAGGAGGCGGCGGCCCTGGCCCTGTCGCAGCCTGACGGTAAGACGAAGAAGACCAAGAAGGTGGTGATCAAGAGGGTGGTGCCGACGCGGGTCATGGAAAGTTTTAAGGCGAGGCTCTTCACGATTATCCCTGACGAGTGTATTCTCACCGAAGACGAGCTCGCCAAACACTCCCAGGACTTCCAGGAATCCTACGCCGAGAACATGGACCTCATGAACAAGATGCGTGCCTGGCAGAAGGCACTCCTTGAGCAGTACGATAAGTTTGGCTATGCCGTTGATGAGTCGGAGGCCGAGGTCACCGACGATGAAGACGACGACGACGGCACGGTGGTGAGATAACTAGCTAGCTCGACACAAATGGTGGTGCTACCGTGCTACTTTGCCTTTTGACTAGTTATTATTAACTGGTTTTATGTCCGCGTGTTGCTAACTTGCTATGGAAAGATCCATGTTATCATGCTGCAATATATTCATTGTCCAATTATAGACCTAAGGGTAATCTTATGCTCATGTTCATTATGTTTCCTCAATAAATTCTCTGCGAACTACCAAATGTTTTAAAGTTGTATTTCCTATCTATTGCTGATGCTGCAATAGAAGGAAGCTCTATATAGACAAGTATTTTCTATGTACTATACTTAGTTCTTTGTTTGGCCTGGCTCCAAATGGCTCTTTGCTTCTTGGTACGTGTGCCGCACTGCTGTGGTGATGGAACAGTGGATAACCATACAAATAGCAAAACATCAGGACCATACAGATACTATATAGGAAACAATAGTAGCAAATAAGGTCCAAGACGATAACACCATATAGTAATGAGCAGACACCAAACACTTAGAATATATAGGTGGATCACACAAAGACATGATAGTACAACTACTTAGGGAGTTAGGGTAGCTGTTGATCTTGGACAAATTAAACACAGGCTGCTTGTAAATTATTGAACCACCCCTTTGCTTCCTGCCTAGTTCTTCACCACCACCTCCTCCTCCTCCTCGTCCGTGACCTCCTTTTCGTCATAGGCATAGCCAATAGCACGGTACTGAGCGATGAGGGCTTGCTAATATGCGAGGTTCTTAGCATTGATGGCCTTGTTAATGGCATACATTTGGCGGTATTCGTCGGGACACTTGGCCATCTCCTCGTCAGAGAGTTCTTTCATCATGTCAGGATTTTCAATTCAATAATATAATCGATGTAAGCATCTGGCATAATTAGCCTGACCACCTTCTTCTTCTTCTTGTCGACAGCAGGCACCTGCGTGGTCTTCTTCCTCTTCAACCAGCGATCCAACGCCCCCGGGACAAGCTTCTCCCACCATAGACGCTCCGCCTCCCATAACTCCTCCCTCATCTTCAGCATCTCACCCTCCTTGAACAAGCTATCACCCTCCTTCTTCTTCTTGAGGGCGGTATGTAGCGTCGTCCTCCGATGGGCTGGCCTCCTTCTTCTTCAGTTCATGGTCATGGTAGTCATCGGCCTCCTACGACATGCTTGTGGCCTCCTTCCTCTTCATCCCGGCCCTGGCCCCGGTCTGCTGGGCCTCCGCTGTGGGCTTGGTCGCCAATAAAACCGCCGGCCAAATCAACCATCGCCTCGTTCCTCTCCATCTAGATGTCGCCGGCCCTAACCCGTTCCGTCCTGCAGTCGAAACAGATTAACAGACAGAGGGCCGTGAATAATTAAGGAAGCGAGGAGGCGGAGGAAACTGGATACGGCCGGGTGCGAGTGCGATACGAATACGGGTGCGTGTATTGGCAGTATCAGGACGTACGCGTACGAGGGGGGAGTTTGCTGCATGAAGCACGTCACAAACAAGGCCCGTCTGCCAGACACAGGCTCCGTTCTTGACAGGCAATCGCATGCGGCATGCACGATTGCTTTTTTTTTTGTAATATAACTTATTATACTTGGAATTAATATATTGCCTGTACGTATGTACTATGAGTCTAATTTCAACTGGTAGCATTGGGCGTTGGCCTCAGTCGGTTAGAGTCATAGCGTTCGTGTGGTGGCCACGACGTCGCCCACGATCTGCACTCGTGCGCTCCTGTGTGCACAGTTTGTAATCGGTATATGTATTCTTCAGAGAGCAATACAAACAGTTGTTGGCTCCTATTCCTCTCATCTACATGGTATCTCAGTTAGCGCAGACTGATCCTGCCTTCTCTGCTCCAATACTTAGTAGCTGAATTGCCATGCATTTCTTATCATTTATGCTTTTGCTTTCAGTGACTAAATAGAAAATTGTTCACTGCTAGACAGACTACCAAAAAATATCACTAGACAGCTAAGAACAAAATAAAGGGGTATTATAAACCCATGTCTCTATTATGAGAGCATCTAGCATTTTCAAGCAGGCTTACAGATAGGGGCCTCTTCTAATCATTTCCCCTTCCCTCTTTGGTTGTGTAAACTGTATCTACTGATCTCCCCCATCGCGGTACCTACAAAGCAAGGGAGCATGGGAGGACCATGCATATAGAAGACTACAAGACCTATATATAAAAAACTGGAAATGAATAACTGTATAACTCCCCACTACCTAGTCACCTCATCAATAGAAGCTACAAATCCACAGGTTGCAGACGAATCAAACCCCCAAAAGATGGAAATCACACAGAAGCTGGTTGCCAGAGTTAGAGACGTGAAGTGCAACTGGAGGCGTGAAGCCAGTGTGCGATGGCACTGGGCCATGAATTGGTATCAGCCTGATAGAGCAGCACAACAATGCAATTGTTGCTGGCTTGCTGCAGACATGGATGGACACAACTGCAACATCTGTCGCGGACTCGATCAGCAAATTTCAGTATAGAGAAATGGCCTATAAAATTCTTTCTTTCTGAACATATGGACTGGCAGAATTCCTATTGTCATCACTCAAACAAAGTACAGCAAAAATGAGGTTCTGGAAGCAGAAAATTATACCCGATAACCTTAATTTTCAACAAAAATATACAGGAAAAGGTCTATATCACCCCCTGAGGTTTGGAGAGGTGTCCACTTAACCCGCCAAAGTATAAAACCAGGTATTGAACACATTAAAATTTGCAAAACCGGATATTGAACACATTAAAATTTGCAAAACCTAATATTGAACACATTAAAATTTGCAAAACCCATCAATTTAGGGGGTAAATTGACCGGTTTTGCAAACTTTAATGTGTTCAATACCTGGTTTTATACTTTGGGAGGTTAAGTGGACACCTCTCCAAATCTCAGGGGGTGATGTTGATTTTTTCTAAAATATACAGTAACTGAATCAAACATTCTGATGTGTGTCAGACAACAACAAATTTCAATTTGTTCATTACTCCATCCAGATTCTTGGGCATGTCCCATCAAGATTAACAAAAGATTTATGAACGAAACACTAGAAACATGTCCTGTGGTGATGAAACAACAGATAACCACCCATCTTCCGCTATGTTTGCGGGGGCTATTACATATTTGATGTGGAAAACATCAACCATGCATTGACTTCTTCGATCGTAAAGCCAAATTGAGGACTGAACTGAGAATTTGGGTCACCACCACAACAGTATGAAAGAATTGGCACCACCACAGCAGCATGAAAGAAAACAAAGGTGCTTATGGCAAAAACCGCAAAACTTCTAGCACATGGAGAAAAAAAAACATGGCACCACCACAGCAGTTGAACCAGCGGCGGCAGGGGATGGAATGGCCATGGACCACCGCGAGGTGGAGAGCAATGAACAAGGCCTCCGATAACACGCCGCCAGCACCAGCTCTTCCTGCTCCACTTCTAGCACACCATGCTTTTAAGAACGTAAGTGAACTCACTTGAAAGCCTATTCAAAACTTACTATGCATGTTTTTTCCCTTCACAGCCTATTCACAGCATATATGAGCTTGCACACCTTTTATAACCAATTATTAATGGGGTAGGAGAAACAGTACCTCATCAACCTCAGTAGTTGCACTCCAAGTCATCCTTATAAAAGGGGGTATTATAAACCCATGTCTTTATTCTGAGAGTATGTAGCATTCTCAAGCGGGCTTACAGATAGGTGCATCATGCCTCTTCTAATCAATTCCCCTTCACTCTTTAGCTGTGTATAAACTTTATCTACGGATCTCCCTCATAGCTGTGCCTGAAATGCATCAACAGTACAAACTACAAAGCAAATAGCTGTGTAGAAAGCATGGAAGGATCATTATCATGTAGAATAGCTACAGTAGTATATACAAACTGGAAGTGAATAAGTGAAACTGTGTATAACTCCCCACTTCCTAGTTACCTCATCAATAGAAGCTACAAATCCACAAACTTCAGTTGAATCAAATCCCCGAAAGACAGAAGTGCAACTGGAGCCGTGAAGCCAGTGTGCGCTGGTACTGAACCATTGACTAACTGCTATCAATCTGGTGGAGTAGGACACCAGTGCAATTGTTGCTGTCTTGCTGCGAGATGGACACAATTGCAAC